TCAGGGCTCCCTTCTGGCTCTGCACTCAGGGGTCACTCCTGGCGGACTCCAGGGACACTGTGTACTATTGCTCCAGCCCTGTTTGCTTTGTTTTTCTCCCCTGAGTCATTGGACCATAGCCAGGGGCTACTCCTGGCTCTGTGCTCAAGGGTCTCTACCCACACGGTGCTCAGTGCCAGGGACCGAATCTGGACTGGCTGCACGCAAGCGCCTCACCCTGGTGCCATCCACCCAACCTCATCCACACGGCTGGACCCCCTCCTGCGGGCGGTGCTCTCATGCTGGGTTCTGGACCGAGTGTCTTCCCTAATGCGTTCCCAAGTGCTGAGGCCAGCTGAGCACCGACCTGCGTCCCTTCCATGGGGGTCCCTGGAGCCTCCATCACTGCCCGAGGCAGCTGAGTAAAAGCTGCGATGCTCCAGTTCTGCTCCAGGGCTGACGTGGCCGGTGCTTCCGCCTGCTGAGTCCTGCCTGGTAAAGCCCCCTCTTGGCACCGCCCTTGGGCTCAGGGCTGCTTTCACCTCCAGGAGCTCTTAGGACCCAACCCGCAGTCATCCCGCTGCTGTGGCACAGCTGGCACCTCCGTGAAGAGACGGGGTGCGGTGCGAAGACCGTAGGCTCTCCAAGGAGAGAGGAGTCGGGTGTGTGTCCGGCTCGCTGCAGGGGCAGGCCAGCCTAGTGTGGGGGTCGCTCAGGCCATGCCGTGGGCAGCGTGGATCCTAAGCCACACACCGAAGCATTCTGGCACCCAGCCATGCCTTTGCCAATGCCTGAAGAGCCTAGTGGGGCTCCCTGGGGATGGCTGAGCTGGAGGAACCGGGGCCGGGCTGGGGCTGGGTGAGTCCTGTTTCCTCCACCCACTCGCCAGGGTGCCCTCAACTGTCCCGCTGTTCCGGTAAGCGTGCGTGTGGAGGGGATGGGAGGTGGCGGGGGCGGGGGGGGGAGCGGGGGGAGGCACAACCAAGCATGCAGCTGGGAACTCGGGACTTTCCAAGTGCCTTCAATTCCTTTAAGATGTGGAGGGGCTGGAGCAATGCTTCAGTGGGGAGGGTGTCTGCCTTGCATGCGGCTGACCGGGGTTTGACCCCTGGCATCCCATGTGGTCCCCTGAGCAATGCTAGGAGTGATTCCTGAGTGGACCCAGGAGTAACCCCTAAGCATCACCGGGGTGACCTAAAAAGCAAAAAGCCAAAAAAAAAAAAGTGGTAACTTGAGGGCCTGGGAAGATACCAGTACCTGGGCACCTCCTATTGTCCCGGAACTGGGGGGACCTTTCTCCTGCTTCCTATTGAGGGGTCCGGGCTCTGTGGGGGCTCCCAGAGTTGCTCTAGTAACCCCACCTCAAGGGCCAGCTCCTTCGTTGGCATCTGAGAGACACCCTCTCAGGCATGGGCCAGGCTTCCCACTGAGGGTCTCTCTGGCTTGTCCCCCCTTCCTCCTGCTGGGGCTCATATTCACGAGGTTCCTGGGTCAGCATGACATGCCCAAACTGGTCACAGGTGAGGGGCAGTGTCCCCTGGGTCTGTGTATGCTGCGGGCCCTGTGTGTCTCTGCCATGTGGACAGCGTTTATAGGTGTTTTGTCTCATGCCAGGGTGGGTGACTGTGTTGTACTGGGTCCCCCCTCCAGACTTTGGGCCTCTCCCCGGCCTTCTGTGTTGTCTGGGGGTTGAATGAAGCCATGTTGGCACACACAGCTGTGTACACGCTGTGTGTGTGTGTGCATGCGAGCGAGTGCATGTGTGTGCGTGTGTGTACGCATGTGTGCGAGTGCTTGTGTATGCGTGCACATGCATGCAGGTGTGTGCATGTGTGTGAGTGGAGTGTGTGTGCACGTGTGCACTGAAGGTGGGAGACGGGGCAGAGGCTCCCATACTCCTGGGCATGGGCATCGCAGGCTCTGGCTTCAGCACCAGAGGAGGATGAACCTGGAGGACAGCAGACCTCTGCCAGGCCCCCTGTGACGAGGCTGCCCGCCTGGACGCCGGGGAAAGATGCTATCCCAGCCTGTGTGCTCAGGCACGGTGCCCTGGTGCCGCCTGGGGTCCGGCGTAGGCTCCTGGGGCTGTGTCAGGCGGTGCCAGCGGCCGGGGGGCAGGGCGGCATGGAACAGAGCGGGTATCAGTCCTCCCCGGGGAAATCGGAGCCGGGCCAGATCCTGCCTGGCGGGTCCGTCGCCCTCATCTCGGCTTACGCTTCCAGGGAAACAGGCCGGCTGGGGTGGAGCCTGGGCTGACACCCAGCCTGAGGAGGACCCGGGACTCCTGGGAGAGGCGGGCAGGGGGCGGGCATGGCACCCGGGCCTCTGGGTGAGGCTGGCTCGGAAGCTGAGGAGACTCTTGAGCAGAAGAGTCGGACCTATGCTCTGGTTGGGGTGTGGAGAGGCGCCCAGAGGCCCTCAGGGGCCTGCCCCCAGCCCCTCCTTGAGGAAGGCTTTTGAGGGGCAAGAAGAGCAAGTAGGTGTTCCTTGGTGCAATCTATACCCTATCTCTGCACACCCACATTGCATCTCTGGACACCTCACATTCTGTCTCTGAAGAATCCGCGCCCCGTTTCTGGACACCCCACACCCCGTCTCTGGACACCCCACACCCCGTCTCTGGACACCCCACACCCTGTCTCTGGACACCCCACACCCCGTCTCTGGACACCCCACACCCCATCTCTGGACACCCCACACCCCGTCTCTGGACACCCCACACCCAGTCTCACTCTAGGTCCCCTTTAGAGTCTACAGGATTGGGGGTGCTGTGTGAATCTTCTATGGGGATAGAGGGCCCAGGAGGCCCATGGTGGCAGGGGGGTGGTCCAGGACCAGGAAGGCATCGTCCCTCATGCCCTGGTAGCTGGCTCTGGGGCCCAGGAAGAGGTGCTGCCCCCCAGATGTCAGTCTGCTCCCCAAAGCTGGCGGGGGCTCTTGTTCCCACCGGCCGGCTTGGGACGGGGCCCAGCTCTGACACCTTCCCTCCTTTCTTAACCTCTCCCTAGGAGGTAAGTCTCGGGACACCTTCAGAGGAGAGGACCTGGGGCTGAGCCCACCCAAACCAGCAGGGTAGGATGGACACTGGCATCCACTTCCTGAGGAAACCCTGGGAGCCTGTGGGGGCCCCAGCTCTGGGTTTCAGCAGTGGGGTCCCCTAGTTACTTCCTTTTGCTACTCCCACCTCTGGAGTGGGGCGGGATGGGATTGTGAAGCCAAAACTCACTGTCACTGTCCTGTTCATTGATTTGCTCAAGCGGGCCCAGTAACGTCTCCATTGTGACAATTGTTACTGTGTTTAGCATATCGAGTATGTCACGGGGAGCTTTGCGAGATACTCTCGGTAGCTTGCCAGGCTCTACAAGAGGGGCGGAGGAATCGAACTCGGGTCGGCCATGTTGGCTGCGTGCAAGGCAGACGCCCTACCCGCTGTGCTATCGCTCCAGCCCGAAGCCAAAACTCAGGCTAAGAAATCTGGGCTGGGCCAGGGAAAGAGCCCAGGACGCGGCGTCAGCCCTGATCTGGCCCCCAGCTTTGGGGGGCCTCAGAGGACCACGGCAGAGCATAGTCCCGTGATCCCAGCATTGCTTGGACCATTGGGAATGGCTCCTGTAGAAAACAGAAGGAAGGGAGGAGGGAGGAAGGTGGAAGGAAGGAAGGAAGGAAGGAAGAGGAAGGAAGGAAGGAAGGAAGGAAGGAGGGAGGGAGGGAGGGAGGGAAGGAGGGAAGGAAGGAAGGAAGGAAGGAAGAGGAAGGAAGGAAGGAAGGAAGGAGGGAAGAAGGGAAGGAAGGAGGGAGGGAGGGAGGGAGGGAGGGAGGGAGGGAGGGAGGGGGAAGGAGGGAGGGAGGGAGGAAGAAGGGAGGAAGGGAGGAAGGAAGAAAAGGAGGAAGGGAGGAAGGGAGGAAGGTGGAAAGAAGGAAGGAAGGAAGGAAGGAAGGAAGGGAAGAAGGGAAGAAGGGAGGAAGGGAGGAAGGGAGGAAGGGATGGAGGGGGAAGGAGGGAGGGAGGGAGGAAGAAGGGACGAAGGAAGGAAGGAAAGGAGGAAGGAGGAAGGAGGAAGGAAGAAGGGAGGAAGAAAGACGCAAAGGAAGAAGGTAGGAAATGAAGGAGAAAGGGAGGGAGGTGAGGGAGGGAGGAGGGAGGGAGGGGAATGAAGGGAGGGAATCTTGTTGGTTGACGCTGTTTCCTTGCACACTGCCCCAAGAGGTCACAGCCTGACTGGTGGTGTCAGTCAGTTGTCGGTCGGGCTACAGACGTGACCTGCAATGGCCAGCAGGAGGCGGGCTTGGCTCCTGGGCCCCCACTGAGATGAGGCCTCCTGGACAGGGCGCAGTCCTGCGTCAAACAAACACCACACATCTGTGTTCTGGAGCCGGAAGCACCGTTTATCCAGTCCTATGGAGCCCGACTCCCTCCACGGCCACCCCCAGTCCCCATAAGCCCTCCTGGGCGCCCCTCCCCAGCCCAGCATGCACAGAGGCGCAGACCACCGCTGGTCCGGCCCGCTGCCCGCCAAGGTGGGGCACGGCAGCAGACGGGTGGCCTCCATGGTCCGTCCTGCCCTAGACCCCCCTTCAGTCGGGCCAGCGCAGCACCCCGTTAAATAGCTTCCTTGTAACCCCCTTAAATAAGCCCATCCCCAGAGAACCCACCCCTCCACCCGAATATATTATTCTACTGGCACGAGCCTTTGCAGGGAGCAGCGGGCACCCCCCCCAACCGACAAGGCGCCACCAGCTCTCTCCCAGGGCAGGGGTGAATGGCTGGAGCCCCCCGTGTCCCTACTCCCCCCTCTCAGCAGCGGCCAGGCGACTCACCCAAGGTCACCACTCAGGCCCCAAAGTCCCAACCCGGCTGGGGGGCACCTCTGGCGCAGACCCCCATGTGGTCTCCCGGGGGCACTGACCCGGCCACCCTGGTCCAGGCGCGGAGGGAGCTGGGGGCCCCCTCTTCACCTCGCCGGAGCTCGGGCGCTGCCTGCCGGCCCCCCTCTCTGCTGTCTGCAGCTCGGAGTTGGCTGCAGGGGCGCTCGACACGGGGCAGCACCGGGTCAGGGGCGCGTGGGCCGGGCCCTGAGCTGGCCTGTCCCCGCCCCGTCAGCGTCTGGGCCCCGGCCAGGCCTCACACCCAGTACTGGCCGTTCTTGAGGGCAGGGTTGGGTGTCCGGCAGAACTGCAGCAGCTCGGGGTCGGGCTGGGTCCCCGGCGGGGCGCCCTGGCCGGGCACGGCCGTGAGCGGGATGGCCTGGCCCGGCTCCACCTTGCGGAAGGTCTCGGCGTCGCCGGCCAGGCCGTTGCGGGGCTTGGCCGCCAGCACCTGGACGTCGTGTTTGCCCGTCTTGTTGCGTTTGCGGAGGTAGAAGAGCAGCGGCAGGACGAGCGCCAGCAGCAGCAGGACCAGGCTCACGGGGATGATGACGCTGAACATGTTGGCCTCCAGGAAGCCCAGGAGGCCGCCCCTGGCCGCCGTGGGCGCCGGGCTGGAGGCGGCCGGGCGCGGCCCGCCCGTGGGCTGGCCCGCGTCCGCCCGGGCCGGCGCGGGGAGGCGGAGCAGGGCCACGCGGTAGGCGCGGCCGGCGTCGTAGGGCTCCGTGGTGAAGGGCAGCGAGGCCACGGCGGGCGGCACGCCCCGCGCCCACAGCTCCAGCGTGAGGCTGTCGCCGGCGGGCCCGGCCGCCCCGGGCTCGGGCGCGGCCAGCTCCAGCCCCAGCCGCCCGTCCTCCAGGTCCCGCTGCGTGAACTGCTCCACCCGCTCCGCGCCGGCCCGCGGCACGCGCACCAGGCGGCCGCGCCGGGGCCCCGCCAGCAGCCGGAAGCGGGGCACGCTGCCCGTGCGGTTGGCCAGCTCGCCCGCGTCCAGCACGGACGGGTCCAGGCGCAGCGTGGCGCCCTGCGGCCACGGCCCGCCGGCGCCCACGCGCAGCAGCGCCGCGACGGTGACGTTCACCGTGGCCGAGGCGTTGGCGCCGCGCGCGCGCGCCTCCACGCGGAAGCGGTCGCGCGGGGAGGAGAGGTCGGTGAAGGCGAAGACCACCTGGCCCTGCTCCACCTGGCGCTGGCTGAAGGCGGCGGCCGGCTGCCCGGCCACCAGCAGGCGCCCGAAGCGCGGCGCCTGGGCCAGGCGGTACTCGGCGTCCGGCTCCTCGCGGTCCGACACCACCCGCAGCTGCTGGCGGCTCAGCGCGCGGCGGCCGAGCGCCTGCGGCACCTCCAGCGGGGCGCGCAGCTGCACCTCGATGCCCGCGGGCAGCACGTCCACGGCCAGCGTGACGGGCCGCGGCGGGCCCGCGCCGTCGGACACGCTCAGCTGGAAGGCGCCCGGCACGCTGCTGCCGTTGGCCGTGAACAGCAGCCGGCCCGCGTCCACGTCGGCCTGCGTGAAGCGGCGCACGGGCCCCGCGCCCGCGCCCACCAGGCTCAGGAAGCCGTGCGGGGGCGCGCGCCGCACCTCGTACTGGATCTCCGCGGGCGCCGCGTCGGGGTCCGGCGCGCTCAGCTGCGCGCGGGACACGGGCGCGCGGGAGCCCCGCGGCAGCCGCAGCGGCGTCGAGGCCCACGGCCCGGGCGCGCTCCCGTCGTCGCGCACGGCGACGGTGACGGTGACGGCGAAGGCCTCGGAGGTCTGCGGCCCCGCCGCGGGGGTCCCCGCGGGGCCCCGCAGGTGCGCGCGGAAGCGGAAGCCGTCGGGCTGCGTGCCGCCGCCGCCGTGCGCGTAGGCCAGCTGCCCCGCGGCCAGCGCCGACTGCAGGAAGTGGGCGCGCCCGGCGTGGAGGGGCTCCCCGGACAGCAGCAGCTGCCCCCGCACGGGGAACTGCGTGACCTGGAAGAGGACGTCGTGCTCGGCGCGCCGCGGGGCCGGCACGCTGCCCAGGAAGTTGGAGGCGTCCAGCGCGGCCACGGTGATCTCGGCGCGCTGGCCTTCGGGGACCCAGAGACCTGGGGTCGGGGGGGGCACACGGATGAAGCGCCCATGCCGAGGACAGCGCCGCCCCACCCGTCCCACCCCACGCCCCTCTTCCCCCCCACCCCGCCCCTCGGCCGGCCTGCTGCCCACCTTGGTTCTTCCAGAGGCGGCTGGGGCGCTGGGGACACGCGGCCTCAAAGGACACGGTCACGGTGAGGGTGGCGTCCAGGTCGGGGGCGGGTGGCGAGGACAGCCGCAGTTCCACGGTGTCCTGGGCCTCCCAGAAGGGCTCGGGGGGCATCACGTGCTCGTAGAGGATTTGCCCGCTGGAGACCTGCGGGGCGGGAGGGCAGGCGGGCCGGGGCTGTGGGCGGTGACGACTCTGCCACCCGCAACGGGCTCAGCAGAGGGACAGGGGGTCTGCCCGCCCAGGCCTGCACCACCCTCAGCGCGGCGCCATTCCTGCTGCCTGGCACAGTTCACTGCCCCTTGCCCCGATCGGTCAGACGTCCCCAGTGGCTGCCCGTCACAGCAGCGGGCAGCGCTTCCCCTCCAAGGGGAGCCTCGAGCCCACGCGTGCCATGCTGTCTGGTGCCTCTGCCCTCGCTGGGTCAGCTTGGCGGCGGTCTTACAAAGGAAAGTTTGCAAAGTGCATGCTCAGTGTGATGGGTTCTCTGGGCATCAGCCCCAGGCATCAGCTCCCCACAGCCCCCTTGGATGGCCACACCGTGGGGCTCAGGGCTTCCTCCTGGCTCTGTGCTCAGGGATCACTCCTGGTGGGCTCTGGGTATAATACTTGGGACTGAACCTGGGTTGGCTGCACGCAAGGCGAGTGCCCTACCCACTGTGGTCTCACTCCAGCCGACAACTTCTTTTCTATTAATTTTATTATTATTATTATTATTAGGGTTTGGGGTCACCCCCTTGTGATGCTCAGGGGTTACTCCTGGTGGTGCTCAGGGATCACTCCTGGCAGTGCCCAGGGGATATGTGGAATGCTGAAGATCAAACCCCGTTGGGCTGCGTGCAAGGCAAACGTCCTCCCTGCTGGACTACTGCTCTGGCCCTCAACTCCCTCCTTATAAAGGGCCACACCCGAGTGCTTGGAGGTCCGGGATGGGACACAGATGCCACACCAACGCCATGCCCGGAGCAGCCCTGGCAGCTCCCGTGCCAGCTTCTTCAGAGTGAAATGGGACGCGAGTCCTGCACGCTGGCCCTCTGTGGAGCTCCAGGCTCGCTCTGGCCTTCCCTCCCTGGCACCACCCCTGAGCGGGGAGAGGCTGGGTCCCCCCTACCCGCACCTACCCCGCACAGCTGCATCTACTGAATATTTCACACTGGGCAGTGGCCCCGGAGCCTGGCCTGGGGGCTTGGGGAGGGAAACCGGAGAAGCCCTTTCCTCCTTCCCAAGTGCTCCATCTGCTCCTTCCGGGCAGGAAGCTCTCACCTGTGCTGCCCTGGCTGAGCCACTGAGGTGGGCGGTGCTTTCACCTCAGGCTGGTGGCCCATTCACATTGAGCTCCGGGGTTGGCAGCTGCCCCTCTGTTGAGCAGGGCAGCTGTGCGGGGGAATTGGGCCCAATTCTCCGCCCCCCCCCCCGAGACTGAGCAGCCCCCATCTCAGCTCCCAGGACACTTTTTTTTCTGTAGGGGGTCACACCCAGTAGTGCTAAGGGGTTACTCCCGGCTCTGTGCTCAGGGATCACTCCTGGTGGGGGGTCAGGGGACCTTATGGGGTGCTGGGGATCAAACCTGGGTCAGCTTCGTGCAAGACAAGTGCCTTCCCCACCGTCCCATCTCTCCGCCCCGTTGTGTTATTTTTGTGTTGCTAGGGGCCTAGCCCAGGCCTCCCCGCCACGGGAAACAGGCTGCAAGGCTGAGCCCCATCCTGGCCCCTCCTGCTTCTGGCTGGCCCCTTGCTGGAGCCCAGCTGTGCCCCTGGGGTGTCCAGGGGCCCACCAACACCTTTCCTGCACACTCCATCCCCCAAACCTAGCACTGCCCCTCGCCACTGCCTATGGGTATCCCCATTACTGACTGTCCCCTCCCTGGGGGGCCTCGTTGCCCGCCCCTCCACACCTTCCCCACTCTGAGAGCACCAAACCCTATTTGTTCTACCCGAGTGGCCACTCCTGGGCCGAGGTGGGTCCTGCGGAGGGGGTGGGGGATATCTCGCGGGGGCCAGGATGGAGGCTGCAGCTGGAAGCAGGACGGGGGGGGGGGGGCGGGGGTGGCGCTCACCTCGGCCTGAGTGAAGTTCCCCAGGGACTCCTCGGCGCTGGCCTGCTGGGCGTGCAGTAGCCGGCCCAGCTGGGGCCCCCGCAGCACGTGGTACAGCAGGAGGCGGGCGTCCGTGTGGCCGCTGGACCTGGCCTGTAGGTTCTGGCTGCCGAGCGGCTGGACGGACCCTGCGGAGGCAGAGGAAGACTGTGGGTCCACGCCTGGGCAGAGGTGAACACCCCTGCCCGCCGGACACCCACCTGGGCACACGCTCAGCGTCCGGCTACCGTCCAGCGAGAGGACCAGCTGCCTCTGAGCCGCCACGCGGAAGACGTGTCCCGGAGACGCGTGCTCACCGTCAGAGAGGCTGAAGCGGAAGCCGCCGTCCAGTGCTCCTGGGGACACAGAGCCCAGTGAGGTCCTACTGGCCCGGGCGCCCCCCCCGCCCCACCCTGCCCCTGCCTGCCCGCCCGCACTCACCTCTGTGTGAGAACAGCACCTGCCCTGCATTCAGCTGGGCTTGCGTGAAGCTGCTCACGGCCGTGCCCGGCTCTGAGCGCAGTGCCACCTGCCCACTGCTGACCTGCTCCACGGTGTAGACCAAGTCCTCAGGGCCCGAGTCCTCATCCGTGGCCTGGAGGGCCTCTGGGGGGATGGGCACAGTGGCCCCTTCCCACACCTGGGGACACAGAACCTGTCCTCACCGGCTCGGGGCTCTCCTGCGCCTAGACCCCCCTAACCCAGCTGCCCCAGTTCCATCCCTGGCACCACAGGACCCCCTGGGAGAGCCCCCACTGCAGGACTAACTAAATTATGAGCATCCTCCACTGCCCCCCACGCCCAGGCACCCTGCTCCAGCCTCACTGTGCTCTGAGCCCCCCTCTGCACTCCAGTCCAGCCCACCAGGGGCTGCACGTGTGGGAACTGGGGAATGATTAGCCCCTTCCAGGTCAGGGTTGGCCGCAGAGGCTGCTTGTTGGTGGGGTCAGAGCTGCAGGGTGGATGCTGGGACCCTTTTCTGGCACGGTCCAGAGGCAGGTAGAGGAAGCCCGTCCCCGAAGCCCTCGGGCAGGAGCCTGTTCCTGGGCCTTGTCTTCCTGGGTCAGCAACTTGTGGGCAGTGCTGGGAGGGACTTCCGAAGTGGGAAACTGAGCTCTGCGGGGGTTTCTGGGCACACCACGGGGGGGGGGGGGCTCAATGGGGGCTCCCGACAAAAACGCGGTACAGAGCGCCACCTGGTGGCTGTACTGGTGCATAGCACCACCTGCCTGTGGTTCCAGCCAGGCTGCCGGCCGCGGGCTCCCTCCCCACAGGCTCCTCAACTGCCCAGCGCCCACAGCAGGCCCAGCCCAGCCCAGATCCCTCCCTCTGTCTCTCCACTCTTAGTGGTCCTGGGGCCAGGGCCTGCGGGAACCTGGTGATTTCGGTTCTCCATACCAAGCACACGCCCCAGCCCTGCGCCTCTCTGGAAGGCCTCTGAGCGCTGTCAGCTGGACTCCACACCCAGGCAGCCCCTGACTGAGGCCCCTCTGTCTGCTCTCCTGCTTGCGTGGCCTCCCGGAAGTGTCTCCCTTTCTGCCCACCAGCCACTGCTTTTGGGCACACGTGGGAAAAAGTCTTGTGTGTCTGCCCTTCCACTAGCCAACTTTGCTCTGTGGCAACGTCAGGGGCAGAGGGCTGGGGAGACCATGTGGTGGGCGTGGGGGGCTGGGGGCTTAGCTGCCCTTGGCTGCGGTTCTGCCCTCTAGGGCCTGACAGACCTTTTCACGGCAGTTTCGGCCTCGAGCCCACGCTGAGGGCTTGTCGGCCGGCGCGGCCACTCCCAAGGCTACCCCAGCCCTCCTCAGTGTCCTTTGGTACCAGAACCTCATCCCTGAGTCTCAGCTCCAGCGCAGCCCCCCCCCCCCCTTGCAGGAGGAGGCTGAGCTGCACCCACCCACCTGCAGGCCCGTGTTCACGATGAGGACGGGGGGCTGGTCGTTGACGGGGAGGACGGTGATGGCCACAGTGACCGGGCGGCTCTGGCGGTCCATCTGCGAGGCGTTGGCCACGAGGACAAAGCTGTCTGCCCACGTCTCGCTGCCGTCGTGCACATAGCGGACCAGCTGCTGCTCCACCTGTGGGCAGCAGCCCAGGCTGGGGGTCAGACCTCAGACCTCGGGGTCCCGGGTTTCCCACACCGCCCTGGCCCTGCCCCCCACCCCCTCATGCTCATACCTCTGCCCAGGAGAAGGTGCTGAGGGTCCCGTGGGCAGGGCCATCCTCTCTCCGCAGGACCCCGTGCTGGGGCCCCTCCAGCACCTGCAGCTCCAGCCCCGGCATGGTGGGGAAGTAGGGCCCGGCCACCCGGAGCAGCGGGGGCGCCAGGGTGCGGGTGCCGCCCTCAGGGACGCTGAAGTTCTGCACCTCCAAGGGGATGTCAGCCGGCAGCACCTCCAGCTCCACACGGATGTCCTCCAGCGGGGCCCCCAATCCCGAGGTCACATCCAGGGAGAAGGTGTCACCCCAGGTCGGCGGTCCCGAATGCAGGTACAGGACCCGGCCTCCGTTCACTGCCTCCTGGGAGAAGCTCTGCACGGGCTCCAGGCTGGGCGGCTCGGCCGCTGCTGGGCCGTGAGACAGCAGCACCAGCGAGCCAGCGCGAGGGGGACGCGTCACCGTGAACACGATGTCCGCAGGCACCACGGCCTCCTGGGCTGCCTGGTTCAGAGAGGGTCACGGGGTTGCCACCTGCCCCAGGGCCTCCAGCCAAGACGCACTCCAGAAGTGTGCAGAGTTCTTAGCCGCTGCCCCTCATCGCCACCAGAGGGCGCCCCACTCTTCTCCTGCAGTGGACCGGCCGCCTGCTCCCGCACCAGCAGGTCCAAGAAAACCCTCAAACCACATGTGGTGACTTTGCCCTTGGCTACACTTTCCCCTCGACTGCATCCTGGTCCCTCCATTCTCGGCCCTTGAATCCCCAGTCCCGGAGATGGCTCAAAGCACAGGTCATCCCGTGCCTGCCAGAGACCCAGGCTTGATCCCTGTACCACGCGACCATCAGAAACAACCCCCAAGCATGAACCCCGGGGAACCCCTGAGCCTCGCCAGGTGTGACCCCAGATCCCCAAGCAAACAGACCCCTAAAACCTCAGGTTCCCCAAATCCTGCTTCAAATGCTGCCTCTTCTGGAGCCAAGATTGATTTTTTGTTTGTTTGTTTTGGGTCTACATCCAGCTACTCCTGGCAGGGCTTGGGGGACCACAGGGGGTGCTGGGGATTGAACCTGGGTTAGCTGTGTGCAAGTGCCCTCCTCCCCACTGTGCCATCACTGATCCACAGCCGACACTCCTAATGACATATGTGTCCAGTTGGATTCCGCCCAAATGTCCAGACAGAATTGAAAGGGGCTCAGAATAGGACAGCGGGGAGGACACTTGCTTTGCACACAGATGACTGGGGTTCGATCCCCAGCATCCTATATCATCCCCTGAGCACCACCAGGCCTGATTCCTGAGTGTAAAGTCAGGGTTAACCCCTGAACACTGACGGGCGTGGCCCCCAAACAAACAAACAAAAGGGAAAGGAAAGGTCAGTGTAGGTGGCTGGGGTCACACAGCGAGTCAGTGCGCCTTCTGCTGGCTTGTGATTAGTCAGGCTCCTGGGTGGTCGGCAAAGCCTCTCCCTGAGTCATGTGGTGGGAGATGTGAGGGGCTGAGCATCTGGGGCAGCCTGCACTCCCCAGGGTCCACGCCTCTAGAACCCTCCAAGAACCCACAGAGCCTAGGACGCAGCTGCACCGCTTAGCTTCTGTGCTTTGGACGGGCCGCGGGCCTGCCTGGTGGACTCCTGTGCACTGTGTATCCTGGACACACGCAAACTGACAGTCTGGAACTCTCCACACCCCACCCGCAGCTGCGCACCCAGTATGCAGCCCCCACCCGGGGCGGGGAGGGGCCTCCCCCTTGCGCCCCCGCTTTACCTCCAGCTGGTCCCTTCTGATCTCCGCGGCCTCGCCCTGGAAGACGTAGATTTTCTTGTGCTGCACCAGGCGCAGTGGGGCCAGCGGCCCCTCCAGAGTGACCGTCACCTGCAGGCTGGCCTCGGCCTGCAGGGGCCCCGCCTCCACGGAGAAGGCCAGGCTGTCCCGGGCGCTGAGGCTGCCGTTGTGGCTGTACACGAGGGCCCCGGCCTTCAGGTCCTGCAGGGTGAAGGCCGCGACGGGCTGGTCCTCCCGGAGCAGCTGGCCCCAGCGTGGGCCGCCGGTGAGCCGGAAGCGGACCTCGTCCCCGCTGCGGATGTCCAGGTTGGTATCCAACGGCAGCACGTCCGTGTCGATGGCCCCCCGGCCCCCCTGGGGCACCACGAGGCGGGAGCCGTTGGCCACCCGCAGGTAGGGCTCGGAGGCCTGCACCTCCACCTGCGCCGTGGCCTGGTGCCGGCCGTCCGACACCTGCAGCTGGATCCAGCCGCGGTCGGCGCCCGAGTGCACGAACAGGACGCGCCGCCGCCGCAGGTCGTCCTGGGTGAAGCGGTAGAGGGGCCGCGAGGGCTCGTCGGCCGCCACGACGCTGCCGAACAGCAGGTCCTTGCGGGTCAGCACCAGCTGCGCGTCGGCGAAGCCCGCGTCGGCGTCGCTGAAGGCCACGTGCTCGGTGGTGAGCAGCCGCCGGCCGCCGCGCGCCACGCGCAGCGCGCGGCTGACGGTCTGCACGGGCGCGTGGTCGTTGACGGGCTGCACGGCCACGCGCACCACGCCGCGCACCTCCTCCCAGGCCAGGCCGCCGCTGCCCTCGCCCTGCCGCGTGGCCACGAAGGGGATGTCGTCCTCCGTGGTCTCCGAGTCGTCGTGCAGGTAGAGCAGCCGGCCGTGCAGCAGGTCGTCGTTGGTGAAGGCGCGGACCGGCGCGGCCCCCTGCGCCCCGCGCCACGCCAGGCGCCCGTGGCGCGGCTGCTCCATCACCTCGTACACGTAGCTGGCGCTGCTGCGGCTCTCCACGAAGAGGTGGTCGGCCGAGAGCACGGCCTGGCCGCCCTCGGGCACGGCCAGGAGCGCGTTGGTGAGCACCGGCGCGTCGGGGTCGCCGCCGATGCGCACGCGGAACGTGTAGAGCGGCGAGAAGCGGCCCGGCGGCGCCGTGACGCGGAAGCGGAACGTGTCCTCGGCCGCCTGCGCCGCGCGCGCCGTGGCCGCGTAGGTCACCCGCCCGGCGCGCACGTCGTCCTGGCTGAAGCCCTGCCCGTCCGACAGCCGCGCGCCCCGCAGCCGCAGGTTGCCCTTGCGCGGGGCCTGCACCACCTCGTAGTGGAAGCTGGCCGGCGCCGGGCCGGCCGCGCCCTCCTCCAGGCTGGCCTCCAGGTGCGCCGCGGTGAGGGGCTCCTGCTGGGTGCTCCGCGCGAGCAGCGGCTCCAGCCGCAGCAGCGTCACCGTGGCCCGGCGCACGTGCACCGGGAAGGTCAGGTTGCGGAGCACCTCCTGGCCCACCTGCACCTCCAGCCCCAGCTCCTCCCGCGGGTCCTGCGCGTGGTGCTGCGGGTCGGTGCTCAGGTACCTCACGCGGCCCTGCTCCACGTCGTGCTGGTGGAAGGCCTGCGCGGGCCGCCACTCGGCGCCCTCGGCCCCGCCGGCGCCTTGCTTCTGCAGCTCCCCGAGCCGGGGCGGGCTGGTGAGCCGGAACAGCACGCTGACCTGCTGGCCCACCGCGTTGGTCTCCACCGACAGGTTGGCGGGCAGGATGGGGGCGGCGGAGCCCTGCTCCACCCACAGCCCCGTGTTCTGCAGCGCCTGGATGGCCGGCCGGACGGCCACCACCTTCAGCGTGGCCGGGGCGCTGGCCAGCAGCCCGTCGCTGACCCGGAACGTCAGGTCCTGGGCCGGCCCACCCCGGTGCACGTACACCAGGCCGCCCGCCTGCAGCTCCCGGCAGGAGAACTCGGTGGCCGGCTGCCCCGGCTGGTCACGGCGCTCCACGGGCAGGCCGGCGGGGGCGCCCAGGAACTGGAAGGTGAGCCCCTCACAGGCCGAGTCGGGGTCGTAGGCCTGGAAGATCTCGGGCCCCAGCGGCTTCTGCGTGTGCTCCAGGATGACCATGAGGTTGCCGTTGGGGAAGACGACGCGGGGTGGGTCGTTGACCGGGCTGACCTGGATGGGCAGCAGGTAGGTCTGGCCCTTGCGCAGGCAGGACGGCACGGGCCCCCGGGCGGTGACGGACACCTCCAGCACCAGCTGGTCGCTGGTGTCCTCGGAGCCGTCGTGGACGAAGCGCGCCTTGCGGTTCACCACGTCCAGGAGGGTGAACATCTTCCGCGCCTGCGCCCCGGGAATGTCCAGCTCCAGCTGCCCGTGGCGGGCCCCGCCGCTCACGCTGAACAGCACCTGGGACTTGCGCAGCTCGGCCAGGCTCAGGTCCAGGGTGGGCTGCACGTGGCGCCACTCGAGCCAGGCGGTGCCCCCCTCGGCCACCACCAGCGGGCTGATGGTCAGCAGCTGGGTGAAATTGGCGAAGACCGGGGGCAGCCCCGGCTCCGGCGCGCAGGGCTCGGGCAGCTCCATGACCTCCCAGACGTCGGGCGCCAGCGTGGAGAAGGCCTCGTAGGGGCCGTAGGCGTCTTCCTCGTACTCCTCTTCCTCCAGCCTGCAGCCGGCCGCCATGCCCCGGGTCAGCACGGCCTCCCGCAGTCCCAGCCGGCGGCCGTTGACGCTCAGGTCCTCCAGGCAGCCCAGCAGGGACAGCTGGAGCGCCTCGGGGGCCAGGCCCAGGCGGTGCTCCTGCAGGTGGCGCGTGGCCTCGGCGTCCAGCCCGCCCAGGAGCAGGCTGCCTTGGGGCTCCAGGTAGCTGGGGACGCCGCGGTTGGAGGTGCGCGTGGGGTACTGGTCCACTGAGATTTCCAGCTGGTGCGTGTCCACGTGGACGCTGACCTCGTGGGGCTGCCCGTCGGCCACGGGCACGCTGTTGTGCAGCAGGACGGTGCCCTGGCCCTTCTCCACCACGGCCCGCAGGTGGCCCTTGAACACGTCCACGTAGATGAAGTCCCCCTGCCGGCCGCCCGCCTGGAAGGCCAGGGGCGCCTGCTGGCTGCGTGTGACGAGCGTGAACTCCAGGGTGCCCTCGTCCCGGGTGCCCCAGGCAGGGAAGGCAGCCAGGGAGTGGGGTCCCGAGAAGCCCAAGGCCACGTCGTCCCCGGCAGAAAACTCTTCGGCGCAGCCCTCCAGCACGCCCGGGTTCAGCGGCCGCAGGAGGTTGCGCCCGTTGAGGGTGGCCGCGTGGATGCAGCCCCTCAGGGGTCGGCTGATTGCCCTCAGGTAGGCCAAGTCCAGGTTCCCTGTGCCCCCCACGAAGACCCCATAGGGGACCTCTAAGGGGGCTGCCGGGGCCGGGGCGGAGGTGTTCAGGACCCCGTCGACGGACAGCACGGCCCAGTTGTCGGCCAGGCTCAGCTCCACGCTGTGCAGGGCCGAGTCACTCAGGGCCGTCTCTGCAGGTGTTCGCAGTGCCACCTCCTCCTGGCCCAGGACCAGTCTGACCTGCGGGGAGACGGGGTAGGGTCGGAGTTGCCGTGACTTGTTCATTTTGCTGTAGTTGGTTTGGGGGCCACGCCTGCAGTGCTCAGGGCTCTGTGCTCAGGGCTCACTCCTGGCTCTGTGCTCAGGGGTCACGCCTGCTCTGTGCTCGGGGCTCACTCCTGGTGGGACTCAGGGCATATTCCTGGCTCTGTGCTTGGGGCTCACTCCTGGTGGGACTCAGGGCTCAGTCCTGGCTCTATGCTCAGGGCTCAGTCCTGGCTCTGTGCTCAGGGCTCAGGGCTCTGTGCTTAGGGCTCACTCCTGGCTCTGTGCTCAGGGCTCACTCCTGACTGAGTGCTCGGGGCTCACGCCTGCTCTGTGCTTGGGGCTCTCTTTTGGTGGGACTCGGGGCTTATTCCTGGCTCTGTGCTCGGGGCTCACTCCTGGTGGGACTCAGGGCTTATTCCTGGCTCTTGGCTCAGGGCGCACCCCTGGCTCTGTGCTCAGGGCTCACTCCTGGCTCTGTGCTCGGGGCTCACTCCTGGTGGGACTCAGGGCTTATTCCTGGCTCTGTGCTTGGGGCTCACTCCTGGTGGGACTCAGGGCTCAGTCCTGGCTCTATGTTCAGGGCTCAGTCCTGGCTCTGTGCTTAGGGCTCACTCCTGGCTCTGTGCTCAGGGCTCACTCCTGACTCAGTGCTCGGGGCTCACGCCTGCTCTGTGCTTGGGGCTCTCTTCTGGTGGGACTCAGGGCTTATTCCTGGCTCTGTGCTCGGGGCTCACTCCTGGTGGGACTCAGGGCTTATTCCTGGCTCTCGGCTCAGGGCTCACTCCTGGCTCTGTGCTCAGGGCTCACTCCTGGCAGGGCTTGGAGGGGGGCTCGAAGGGGTGCTGGGGTCGGCCTCATGCTTGAAGGTTAAGTGCTTGACCCCTTTTACTAGCTATCCAGCCCCCTTGTTTAGTTTTCAATTATTTATTTTTGGTTTTGTTTTTGCTATTAAAGAAGCCTAAGAAGAAAGTAAAGAGAGACTTAGAAATGGGAGATGAGGCTCCATCATTAAGAATACTCTCCAGGGGCCGGAGCAATACACAGCAGGTAGGGCATTTGCCTTGCCTGTGGCCAACCCAGGTTCGATCCCTGGCACCCCATATGGTTCCCTGAGCTCCACCAGGAGTGATCCCTGAGTGCAGAGCCAGGAGTAACTGAGCACTGCTGATTTTGTTTTGTTTTTGTTTGTTTGAGAACAAAAACAAAACAAAATCCAAACCTCGGAACACCCTCCAAGGGCTGCAGAGATGGCCCCGGGACTGGAGCACATGTTCCACATGTGGGGTTCCTGGGATCCATCCCCAGTACTCATTGCACGGTCCTCCCGAGTACCACCAGCCGTCACTCCTGAGCACACAGCTGTGAGAAACCCCTAAGGGCCACCAGTGCCGCCCCCAAACCGAAAACTGACAAACAAAAAAAAAGAACTTGAATATAAGTGGACATTGGAGTCGCCGTGGGCAACTGATACGCATATGGGGTAAGCTGTGGATTTCTGACACCAGGGGCTGGTGGCTAGTGGCTCTGGGGACTCCAGGTGACTCACGGGAGGTCCACAGACTTGACCCCTAGCAAGACACTTTCCTGGCCACTGTACATGAACTTTTATTTTTGTGGTGGTTCTACTCTTGCTTTTGGGGAGAGGGGCTAGAACAATCCCTTTGGAGTCTGGAAGATTCCAGACATAGAGCTCCCCGCCCCCCAAATGCCCCCTGCAGGGGGAGCCCCCCTGAAGTCGCAGAGGCAGCCTATGGGAGGTGGGGAGCAAGCTTCACCCCTGAGAAGATGGAACTGGCCTGTCCCTCTTCCCTGAGCCCAGAACTGGCTCTGGGCAGTGAAGGGGGGTCCCACTGTCTCATGGTGGGACAGGGAGAGGGGCGGGCATGGGAGTTGGAGACTTTGGGGGGCCGAGGAGCACACGCTCTGCATGCAGAGATGTTGGCTTGGACCCCCAGCACCCTACGGCCTGTGGGCTTACTGCTAGGACCCAGAGCTGGGAGTCAGCCCTGAGCAACACCAGGCGCGGCCCTAAACCAAACCACCCACTGAAAAATCACCCAAACCCTGCTGCGACTGTGGGGGTTGAAGTTCAGAGCATATTTGTTGCACGTGGGGCGGTGGCAAGAGTAACCCCCATCCCCCTAGTGTTACTGGTTTATAGGTTACTTTTTGTTCGCTTCGGGCCTCGCCCTGGGTGGTAAAGGATCACTCCTGCTCAGTGCTCTGGAGGGACCTTGTACAAAGTAACCACTTTCCGCGGTACTCGATCTCTTTGGCCCTCAACAGCGGCCCCTTGTGGCTACAAGAGGCAATGACAGCTGCAGCGGAGGGCTGAGGCTGAGAGGCTCTCTGGGCAGATGCCCCATATTTGGACAAAGACCTCCGGTTCTTCATGGTTAGGGGCAGCACTAAGAGAAGACCCTTTGCTACAGAGCCTTGGGTGGCTGGAGGGAACCGAGGATGCTGCAACAGAACAGCTGTTCCCGTTCCGGCAGACGTGGCCGGCCAACGTGATGGATGGGGTGCTGGAGGGAGGTGGGAGAGGGATGCTCTGTGCCAGGTGGGTGCCAGGTGGGCACAGAGGCCCAGAGGACCACGGGTGCACTTCCTGCAGGGAGGGTCCTCCCCAGGCTCTGGGAGTGAGGGGCCCCGCATGGAGGAGCGTACACTGGGCACTGGGCCGGCTGGGATGGCGCTGAGAAGTGGGTGGAGAGCAGAGGAGGGTCCGAGTAAGGCTTGGGGTCCCCCACGAGAGAGGCAGCTCCTGTCACTCACCTGCAGGCGTCCGGAGAAGAGCTGCAGGAGGAGGTGGTCTGTGGGGCCCGCGGCCAGGAGAAGCAGGCCTTCGGGTTGGGTGGTGGAGAACTGCAGCCGGAGGTCTACGTGGGTCAGAGCCGCGGCCACGGGCACCTCCAGGTGGCTCTCCCCGAAGAAGGAGGCTGTGGGAGAGAGGGCAGAGGGCGCGGTGGGCTGGACGCTCCTGGACGGGCGGGGAGCGGCACACCTACCTGCTGCCTGTCCTGTTCTCTGTGTGTGTGTGTGTGTGTGTGTGTGTGTGTGTGTGTGTGTTGTATACCCGGCAGCCCCCACGGCTGACTCCTGTCTCTGCACTCAGGCATCACTCCTGGCCCTGCTCAGGAGAACCGAAGAGATGCCAGGGATCGAACTTGGGTCAGCTGTGGGCAAGGCCAGCGCCCTCCCTGCTGTTTTATTGCTCTGCTCCCACATGGGCTTGACCTGGCCTCACCGGCATCCACCCAGAACTCTCGGTAGCAGTAAGGCCCAGCAGCAATGCTAGGTAACCCAGGTCTCCTCCTGGGGTGCTCGGGGCGGGGGGCAGGGCAGGGGCTCTGCATCTCCTGTTTTTCTCGCTGGAACCAGAAGTCACTGTGCTTTGGTCCAAAGGGAAACTGTGCCGGGTCTGAGGAGCTCAGGGCACGGCCTCCAGGAAGGGTGCCCAGGAGAGCCCTCGAGCCTCAGCCCATCTGCTCCTGCAGGCCCCGATGCCCCCCCCCCCCCCGCCACTTCCCTGGTGCTCTCCATCCCCTGCCTGTCCCCATGAGTCGGTGGGGCCGTGGCTGGGCCCTGGGGAGGAGCCCCGCCTGCCTCCCTCCCTCCCCTCTTGGACCGTGTTCCCAGCTGTCTTTGGGAGCAGGGGGCGGGGCCGCTTGTGGGCCTGGTTCTCAGGCCAGATGGAGGCCATGTGCCGTTCTGGACCCAACACGAGCCAACACCTCCTCCATCACCCCCATTCCTTCCTGCCGCGGGGCTATGAATGGTCCCTGGCGAGCCGGCAGATCCGGCCGTTGTGTCCGCAGCCAGCACACCAGCGCCGGCCCCAGCTGACTCTCCCAAGCCTGGGGTGGGGCTGAAGACAAGCCCATCTCCGGGGGACCCCGAGCCCAGTGGTCACCGAGGCGAGCCCCTTTGTCCCACGCTGGGATAATCCTCTTTTTACTTTTTGCAGGGAGACTTGAGGGCCACTCCCAGCTCTGTGTCCAGGGGTGGCTCCTAACAGTGCTCAGGGGACCCTGTGGGGTGCCGGCATCAAACCGGGGTTGGCTGTGGACACTCCCCACTGTACTATCTCCAATCCTGAGCACTCCGCTCTGAAAGCTGCCGCTTCTTCCAGGCAGTCCCCTCCCCCCCTGCAGTGACTTCCTTTCCTTGCAGAGGTTGGGAGAGCACTGGGGCCAAAACAGACCCCAGACCTGTCTCAGAGGCCGGGGCGGGGGGGGGGGGGGGCAGAGAGGAGTGAGCTAGTAAGCACCCCCTGCTGGACTTCCCGTCCTCCTGTGAATGAGCAAAGCTGATGGCTCTGATAGGGCAGAGCTGGCAGCAGCCACACGTGCTGCTCCACCCGCAGCCCATGCCAGCTGACGGGCACTCGAGCAGGCGGGGACACTTCCGGAGTGATGCTTCCCGCTGGGGCCGAGCCGAAGCCCCCTCCAGTTATCTCCTCTTGCCAGCACTCACTGGCACTGCCGGATCTTGGCCTTGGAAGCTGAGGGAGGGAGAAGACAGAACCACGAAGCCGTCGGGCGCCCAGAGCCTGGCCAGCGATGCTGTCCCGAGCAGGAAGGACGAGCAGGGAGCCGGCAGCCTTTCCCCGGCAGGCCTGCTCTGCAAGAACACGCGGCCACGACGCTGACACTCAGCCAGGACACTAAACACTCAGCCATGACCCTGAACACGCAGCCACAACACTGACACTCGGCCATGACACTCATCTTTCGTTGCTGGTGCTAAACACAGCCCTGCACACAGGCGAGGCGTACGCTCTGCTGCCGAGCTAGAACCGCATGCAGCCGAACATGGGTTCTGGTTGCTTTGTTTTTGCTTTTGAGTCACACTTGGAGATGCTCAGGGTTTCCTCCTGGCTCTGCTCAGGGATCGCTCCTGGTGACGCTTGGGGGGGGGAACCCTCTGCAGTGCTGGGGACTGGACATGCGTCAGCTGCATGCTGAGATACCATCTCACACCACAGAGACTGGCCCACATCCAAACGAACAAAAGCAACCGGTGTTGGCGCGGATGTGGCGAGAAAGGGACCTACCCACTGGACTGTTTCTCCTCTTTCTTTATTTTTTTGCCACACCTGGTGGTATTCAGGGCTGACTCCTGGCTCTGCACTCAGAGGTCACTCCTGGCAGGCTCAAGGGGCCATATGAGATGCTGGGGATCGAACCCAGGTCTGTCGCATAGGCGGCGGCATCCTACCTGTTACTGTTTCTCCACCCCCACCTTCACTGTCACTGTCCTCCCGTTGTTCATCAATTTGCTCGAGCGGGCCCAGTAACGTCTCCATTGGAGACTTTGTTGTTACTGTGTCTGGCATATCGAATACATCACGGGGAGCTTGCCAGGCTCTGCCGTGCGGGCGAGATACTCTCGGTAGCTTGCCGGGCTCTCCGAGAGGGGCGGAGGAATGGAACTCGGGTTGGCCACGTTGGCTGCGTGCAAGGCACACGCCCCACCCGCTGTGCTATCGCTCCAGCCCCACCCCCACCTTATTTATTAATTAATTATTTATCTTTTGGTGTGCTGGTACTCAAACCCAGTGTCTCACAAAGACAAAGCAAGTTAGCCCACCTTGATTTTTTTTTTTTTGGCAGAGAGATGTGGGAAGGGATTTGAGCCAGTCTTGGTGGTACTCAGGGCTTACTCCTAGCTCTGTGCTCAGGGATCACTGGTGGCAATGCTCAGGGGGACTCTGTGCAGTGCCAGGGATTGAACGTGGGTCAGCCACGGATGATGCAGGTGCCTACCCGCTGTGCTATGGCTCGGGCCTCTGACTTGAATCTTAAGAGCACAGCTGAGCACTCTAAGGGGTCTCAGTCGTCCCATATGGGAGGCGGTGCTGGTGGGGTATGTGGTCCCCACAGGATGGAACCCTCACCGTGGCAGGCTGGAGCTCAAAGTGGCAGGTGCGAACTGAGGGTCCCGTTGCTGAGAGTCCTGTAAACTGGCCCTGCCATCGCCCAGTGAGATGCCTTATGCCTCAGAAACCACAGAACCAGCCCCCTCAGGCTCCCGCTGGCTGGGAGAGCCCATAGCTAAATACTGATGGGAAGGGGGGCACACTGAGGTGCACCCCCTGCACCCCCTGCACCCTTTTTATCTGCCTGACAAGGTCACAGTGTCCGAGCGTGGACCAGGCAGGAAGGCAAGTAGCTGGCTCTAACCACTGCACCACCTGGCCCATTGCTGGTCCAGCAGGAGAGTGCTGCGGCCTTCAGGCCTGGCCCTGCAGCCTGTGGGGGGGCAGCAGGAAGCAGAGGCACTTTCCAGAGAGTGCGTCTGAATGGGCCCATTGAGGGGCCGGCCCTGCTGTTTCCTGTGAGGCCGGGCGGGGAAGTGCTCACACAAGCTGCCTTGTGCAGTGGGGAACACAGGCCAGGCGGCCCCCGCGACCCCACAGAGGCCTCTGAGGCCGCTGGCCGAGGGTTTGGAAACTCTGAGCATTGCCGCTCCTCCTCCCGGCCTCCTCTTTCCGTCTCTCCCGCTCGTCTCTGATGGACTGCAGTTGCCAGAACCCAGAGCGGTTGAAGAGGAGCTTTGGAGCTTTTGTGTGTGTGTGAGTGCGTGTGTGTGTGTGTGTGTGTGTGTGTGTGTGTGTGTGTGTGTGTTGGGGGACAGGGAACGGGGGTCGGTTTCCAGGTCAAGAAATGAAGGAGCTGAGGGCCAATCCCCGAGGGCTTCCCAGGAGAGGTGAGGCTGGGTTTTCACCCACCAGCCTGCAGACCCGTGCCAGGTCGAGTTGGCATGTATGCAGAGGTTGAAGACCACCGGTGTAGAGGAGGGAGGGAGGAGGACGGGCAGGCTCAGAGGGGCAGGCTCAGAGGACGGCAGGGTCAGAGAGGCACAGAAAAGGAGCAGAGCTCAGGGTGGGCTCAGAGGCTGGGCTGGGGTACTGGCAGAGGAGCGGGAAGGCCCCCCCAAAACTGCCTGGGAGGCGCACAGTTTCCCCAGACTCCGTGCCTCCCTGTCACCCACCCCCGCCCCGCCGGGTCGGCTCTCACACCGGCCCAGGGGCCAGACGGGAGGGCGAGGAGGGGCCACAGGCCGGGCCCCGCAGACAGACGTGTGCTTTGCTGCGTATGCGCGTGTGGCTGCTGCTGGGGCCGTGCCTGGCATTTGCGTAAGGCTGTGTGCTGGTGCCACGGGTGGGCTGGGACACAGGGCTGATTGTGCCACCCGCGGCGGCCGGGCGGGACCCTGCTCCCTGACAGGGGCCCGTGTGTTCGGAGGCTGCCGGCCCCCGCCTGGCACCCGCGGAGAGGTTTGCTCAAGGTGAAGCCCGACAGGGCACCGCTGACCAGGCCCCGTGCCGGGCAGGGCTGGGCACAGAGAGAGCCTGTGTCCTTCTCCCTTCCCCTGTGGGGAGACCAAGCCCCCCCTGAAACCAGCCCTGGCTGTGAAGGGCTCTGGGCAGACAGGTCAGCTGGCAAGGTGGGGACACTCTGCCCACCAGGCACCCCGGCCCCTCTCGGTCAGCCGGGGGCGGTTCTCAAGCCGTGGGAGCCTTTCCCAGGCTGTAGGGGCTGCCGTGGGGAGCCCGGTGGGGGGGGAGCAGCCGGACCACACCCCACCTCTGCCCTCTTGTCCACGCCTCCCTTGGGCACCACGTCCTTTTCCCCCTTGTGCTCAGGCCATTCTCAGGGCCAGAGTCTCATGAACCCAGATGAGAAGCCCGGAAGCTGGGACAGAGAGAAGCAGCACCCCCCACCCCTGCTCTGCCACCTGCAGAATCCTACCTGTTGGACACTGGCCCCTGGGGCCCTGTCCTGCTCCCCCACCCCCCCATCTGTTCTCCCCCCCCCTCGGCATTCCTGGTCTCGGGGCAGCCAGGCGGCTCTGCAGCCGGCGTGCGTCATGGGCAGTGGCATTCCTGGGTGTCTGCCGCCGCCTGACTTTATAAGGGAGAAAGTCTGGGAGC